ACACACACACACACACATGATTTTTTAAAATGCTGAGACATTGTGTTTAGAAGAATCATAAAGACTGGAGTAAGATAGGGCATCTAATAGATGAAGGCTCTGTTAGATAGCTAGGGAGAGTTTAACCACTTTTAGACAATCAGGAATTGAGTTTGGTTGAGGCTAAGTTGACATTTTGGTAAGTTTCAGCTTACATCTGGTTTTGAATAACTTCAGGATTTCCTGTGTGTGTTATTGACTTGTTCCTCTAGCATTGCTTCAGGCTATAAACTCCAGGAGTTAATGGAAGTCTTTCTCAACCCACCTCCAGCTTCCACTACTGCTTCCTCGGTGAATACAGCAAGTCTCATGAGGGGATCAGGGCAGCCAAGAAGAATCAGCTCTGTGTCTAGGGTTCAACTCTTAGGGTTTCCATCTGTCATACCACTAAGGTTGCTGTTTATTGTTTATTGTTCTATTTGTTTCCTCTGCTCTTCAGAAAAGTCTGCAAAAGTCCAGCCAGATTCTGTACTCTCCCATGCTTCCAGGAAAGTGGCCTCCAGAGGGTTTATCTCTCTCCAGATTTTAAATGTTTTAGACCACGCTCATATTCTGTTTTCTGAAGTTAAAAAAAAAAAAGGTATATATAATCTCCCTATTTTTTCCTCTATTTAGCCAGAAAGTTTCAATCTCCTATACTTTAACCAGATGACTAGTAGAGGTCAGTTTTACTGAAGAGCACGCATATTTTTAAAATGTGTCCTTGTTTTAATCTTTAAATGCTAAGCAGTGATTAGAGATTCTCATCTATGTCCTTTGCTTGGCCTGAAAACTGCTGTGGATACCTTAGAGAACATGCTGTATGGCATATGAAAGTACTTTGTGGCCCCTTTGATAGTTTTTCCTAATATGATGTGGGAAGTTTAAGTAATTTGGAATTGCTAAAGGAAAAGATTGAATTTACATGTTGGTATATTTGGGGAAGTCTAAAATATTGAAATGTCTGGAATTAACTTGAAATGCTATCTGTTCTGGGATTTCAAAAAGAACATACAATCTCTGAAAGGCTAACATTTATCAGTCTTTTTTCCTGCTGTTTCTTATTATCTGCAGATTGTTATGATGTAATGGTGCAAAGTGCAGGTGATGCAATTAGGAAGAGATTTTTAAAAAAAATTACTGAGAACTTAAATGTAAAGTTTTTGTGAAAGTTCTCCCCTTTGAATCAGACTTAAATAATAAAGATTGTGAGCTCATAGCAGCATCTGCTATTTACATGAGAACAATAAGAAATTTGCAATTTCCCAACAACATGGTAAACTGTGTATGACTAGAATCATAATGGGTGGTAACCAAATAGGATGAATTTTTTTATAATATAAAAACATAAATGCATCAGAAAGGATATTTAAAGAAATAGTAGTCATTGGGTAGAACATTCTGAATAAGACTGATGAAGGAGAGGGATTTTAAAAAGACCTTCACCAAGAAAATTATTATATAGCTTGGAGATAAGCAGTATCAGAAGAGAAATGTTTCTAGACTAATTAACTTAAGCTAGATCTGATACTCTGGAAATTATCATGGTCCTATCAGAAAAGTTTCATAGACTCGTTTAAGATCTGAATAATATTTTGCTTATTCAGAAAGACAAAGAATTTGTAAATTGTAAATTGAGCTTATGTTATATATCATGGAAAGAACCCAGCCCAGGGAATGGAATTGTGGTTCCCCAATCAACTGACAGCTTCTTGAAAGACAGACTGACAAAAAAAGATAGGAATCTCTGATGATGATGATGAAATATGCTCAAATATACTCAAATGCAATGTAATTTGTGAAGGCAATTTAAGAGAAACTTTGAGCTAAGGACTTAAGTAATCATGACATGAAACTTCAGATTGTATCTGTTATTAATCCAAGGCTCTCTGATGTTTCTTATTCAAATTATTGGTTCTAATCACCCTGCCATTAACTGCCACTGAGTTTGCCACCTTGGGGTTATCTGAGTAGAGCTGGTAAATTCAGTTGATGGGAAGTTCATTCAATGGAGTCAAAGTGTGAATGATGGAGATGGTTTGGTTGATGAAAGCACAAATTGTCTTTAAGACAATGAGGGGGATAGCACAGGGAGAATGGGTGGGGACTGATTATAGACAGACTTATTGCATTGTGATAATTTATGGAAGGGCACTTTATGGCTCCTTGTTCATATCTGCCTTAATTTTGTGGTGCTACTAAAGTTCTAGGGCCCCATTCGTTTCTGACATTGGATGCTACAGTCAATTTGTTTTACTAATAGTAATTCTATTCCAGCAATGAGTATCACTAAAGTTCTATTCAACTGTTTGTTCATAGCTACAATAAGTCACATGCTAAGGGGTCTAGATTTTGTCACTTAGGGGTGAGGCAGGACACCAGATGCTTCTGAATAAAGGAATTATGAGATAGAGAGATGTTTCAAAGATGAAGTTGATGAAATATTCACTGTATCAGGAAGACAGATTGAAAGAAAAAGGACCGATTAGTATGCTATTGTAATTGTTAGGTAAGAGACAATGAAACCTAGATAACTGTTGTGTTCTCATGGGAGGAAGAGGGCCAAATGAAAATGACACACAAAAGAAAAATAATAATTATTTATTTATCATTTAATTTGTGCCAGTTAACTGTTTTTTACACATTCCTATTTTGATTGATAGAGGCATATGATGTTAAGAAATGTGCCAAGGGCTTTTAGCTACTAGAAGCAGGACAGAATCCAAACCCTAGTTTGACTCCTGTAAAGACTATATTCTCTTAACCATGTAGCTATACCAGGGGATCCAATTCTTAAGAAGGCAGAAGTAATTAAAGAAGCTTAAGCGATAAGAATTGGGAATGCAATTTGGGGGGAAAATGTGTTGTTTGGATATTCCAAGTTTGTAGTATTGGTTAGACAGAGAATTGCAGATTAGTCAGGTATGCAGGCAGGAAATTCAGGCCTGGGGATCTGGAATGAAGTTAGGAGGTAATGTGCATCTGGGATAGAATACAAATGGATAATTTTGCAAAGTGACAGAAAAAGGGGAACATAAGAGAATCAGGTAAAATATAGCATTCTGAGGAACCCTAAGTATAGAAGATTAAAAATAGGACACAGAGAAAGCGGTTAGAGAAGTAAAAGAGAATCCAAGGGCAGAAGGCATAATCATAAAGTGGAACTATCAAGGATGGTGATTAGGGTTAAATGGAACAGGTTGGTCAGCAAAAATAAAGACTAGAAATGGGTCATTAGATTTAACATGGTTTTTTCTTCTTCTTCTTTTCTGAGAGAATACATCATTTCTTTCAGTTTGAAGGCAAAGGTAGAAATAGAAGCCAGGTTTTTTTTTTTTTTTAAACTAGGGACTGGACCCAGGGGCACTTAACCACTAAGTCACATCCTCAGCCTTTTTAAAGTGTTTTTTTTTTTTTTTTTATTTTGAGACAAGTTCTTGCTAAGTAGCTTAAGGCCTTGCTAAATTGCTGAGGCTGGCTTTGAATTTTCAATCTTCTTGCCTCAGCCTCCCAAGCCACTGGGATTACAGGCCAGATTATGAAGTATTTGGCATTATGCTGTTTCAGCATCAGATTAATATATTTTTATTTGAAGTATCTTCTCAAGTATGTATTTATTCTCAATAACTAGAATAAAATATTTCTGAACATACCTTGGGAATTTCAAGCTGTCATTTTCTAAATGGTTAACCAAAATATCACTAATACAAATAGAGGATATATCAACGATAGATTGGCATGTATTTTTTACTCAGATCAAGTGAAGTCTTATTGACAGGTCTTTCATGTTTTTGTTAGAGCCAGGGCACCTTTGCCAACAAACAGAAGGATGATTCTGGGAAGATTTAATGGCAGGTACAATACATCTTTGATATTCTCCCACTTCCTTCCTTGTACCCATTTTTTTTTAAGTATCATATTCCTAAACCTGTCCCCAGAATCACTCAGATTTTATCATTTTTTTATCATTTTCCAGGATATGTGAAACTTGTTCCTTGGTTCCATAATTTTCTGTTTTCCTTAAAATTTTGTTCTTGTTCATCATTGCATTGCTTACAATAGAGAAAAAACTGGAAATAAATATATATAAGGCTATTAAAAATGGCTGGGATATAACTAAAAATAGAGAAAATGTCAATATATTAAATGAAACTGTACAAACTGTATTCTGCTTCCTAAACTAAGAGTAACTTATGAAAATAATAGAATATAATTTATTTAAAATTGTATTTCCCTGAAAATAACACATGATAATAAACACCATATTAAATAGCAAGGAGTCCTATAATATGTCAGAATATTCTACAATACAGGCAATGTCCTATAGTAAGATGCTGCCAAAGTACTATATAAGACTCACTTTTTATTTGTGTCATTTGAATAATTTATAGAGGATGTCATGTTGAACACAAAATTTAGATTTTTCCATTGGGAGACATAAAAAACAATCAGGCTAGTTTCTTTCAGAAGAGTTAAGTAGAAAATTCAAAGCCAGCCTCAGCAATTTAGCAAGGCCCTAACAAAGACAACATGGAAGCCCTTCAATCAGGTTCAGTATCATTATATGGGCTATACGGTTAGTTGATTAATGTGGCTTGATTATATGTCACTAAAAAAATTATATGTCACTAAAATAAAATAAAATATGCTCTCAGAGCATATTTTTATACTTTGTTTTAGAATTTGTGATAGACACTTAAACAGAAAATTTAAGATTTACTTATGTTTCATTTAATAAGAAAAAGCTAACATGAAACATCCTCCTTAAAATGATGATAATTAAATGAACTCAATAGTAAAGCAACTAATAAGAGAACTATTGCATGACAAATCAAGAATTCAAGCTATTTGAAATATTTCTTGTGAAACAACTTATTTACAAAAAAATCCAAAACAGTGATATTTCCTATTACATACAACATTCAAGTTGTTGTTAACGCAATTGTCTTTTAATTCACGAAACATTTTATAAATACACTCCATCAGCCCTCTAATGTCCCTGTGAGTCAAGGAGAAGAGTTTTTTTTTAAAATTTTTATTTTACATATAGGATATCTACACAAGATATCAACGACTATTTTAGGAGATTGAATAATTCATTAGGAAAATTGAAATAGAATGCAGCTCACACTCTTTCTTCCTTTACATTAAGTTAAAATTTGGGGTTGTTTCATGCATGTAGGCAGAAAACTGATCTCAAAAGCCACTATGATATTACTATAATTACTAAAAAAAAAAGAACTAATTATAGCCTTTTTTCATTAGGGTTAAAATCCAAATGATATGACTCTGAAAATATGCATATACACGTGTATACAGAACTTGCTAACGCATCTACACACACCACATAGTATGTTTGCACCATTATTCAGATGAAGACTATAGAGCACATTTTTGTTAAACAAGTCTTAATATGACTATTTCCCTCATGCCATTTTAGTTTTGGTTAGAAGCAATTTGCAAACATAAGAAAAATCTTTTTTGTATAAAAGATATGTGATGAAAGGTAGAAATATTGATTGGTAAGAAGGCATTTATACTCTGACTGAATTTAAAAATAAAGTATAAGTTTCTCTTTTGGGGATTAAAAAAAACAACAAAACTGAAAATTTCAGAGGGATGTATTAGTATCTGCAGACGTGTTCATTCATTCATGCTGCGACTCACAGGCTCCTGTTATGTACAGGCCTCTATGGCACTTGGTGATCAAGTCAGAGCTTAGTTTCACACAACTTGTCTAGAGAAAAACATGATGAAAAGTTTTTAATTAATTTTAAATTAAATCTAGTAAAAATATTACTGCATACTCTAATGCCCTCCAAAACCAGGGTACAATTGTTGAGGAATAGTATAAAAAATAATGTGTTTAAAATATTAAGTGGTACTTCTGTGACCATAACCAAGCTTTGGGTATTCCACGGGAAAAAAAGATCTAATAAACTAGAACACATTTGATGGAAATGATCATCAAGGTTAAGAAACTCCAAACTATGTTATAAAAGTAGTAGTTCAAAGAACTCGAGAGCTAGTTTGGGGACTACATGACTCAGAAAGGATATGACAACGTGCAAATATTCAAAGGACTGATATGTGAAAAGAGAATTAGATCCGTTCTTTCTTATTTTAAGGAACTGAACTATAACAAATGGGTGAAATCTATACATACAGTTCAGTTGAATAGAAAATCATATCTTAATCATCAGAGTTGCTAAAGATAGCATAGGTTACCTTGGAAATTAGCAGATATATCCAAGTAGAGTCTGAAAACTCACTTTGTTGATACAATGTTGAAGATATACTCAAGTATCTGATGGATATTTGAGCTATATGGCCTGATCATTTCTTTCAAACAGGAGTCACTGAATCTGTGATGCAAGTTAGAGCAATTTTAGGATCATACTAAATTTCTTTATCTTTATCAAAGTGTTTGAGTCAATAAAGAATTTGCTCTCTAGGTGATCTTAATTAACATGGCTATTTAGAGGAAAATGTTAAGCTCTTGGTGTCATAGTTTATTTTATCTTCTTGTACTTGTTGCTCCATTTCTTACTGTGTTAGTTGAATTGCTGTAGCAAAGTACTGCAAACTGTGTGGCTTATAGCAACAGATATTGTGTTGCAATTTTGTAGGCCAGAAACCCAAAACCATGGTGTTGGCATGGTCATATTCTCCTGAAAGTGCAAAGGAAAGATCGGTTCTAGGGCTTTCTCTTAGCTTCTGGTATTTCCTTGACTTGTGACAACAAAACCCAGGATGCTCATGCTTTTCTCATGTGTGCACATGTCTTTGTGTCCAAATTTCCCCCTTTGATAAGGAGAATACTCATACTGGATTAGGGGTCCATTGCATTCCAGTGTGGTCTCATTTTAACTATGTATATCTGTAACAACCATGTTTCCAAATGATGTCACATCCTGGGGGGTTTAGGGATTCCACGTATGAATTTTGGCAGGATATGAACCAATTCTTAACCAGACATAATACCAAGTGTTTAATGCATTTTACAGCTATGATTAAGGAAGTTATAGGGGAATTGATTCTCACAGTTTACCATTACAGCTAGGTAAGTTCAAGGGGTCAGTTGCTTGTATTTGATAGCACAACTCCTGCAATAGGAACAGAAAGCCTGGATTTCAATCCTGGGTCATCCAGTTATTAGCCATGTCACTTCACTTCTCTGAATATAGTTTTCTAAACTTGTAGATATAGTTAATTGTTATGAAATACTTATGTGATAGTGTCATCATCCATTAAATATAACCATGTATATACATTACATAAAGTAGCACTCTGAAAAGTCCTTAGAAAGAGGATAGGCAGAGATTCTCTATCCTTTTGACTGGGTTATTTGAGAACATTAACAAGATATTCTGAAGAAGAAGAATGCGATTCAGTAGAACTCAGACTACAGATTAGCTCACAAAGATCTAACCTGCTCTATGAAAACCTACATACACACACACACACACACATACAATATAGGCAAGAAAGTGTAAATGACTTTCCCTACTTATATGAATAATACATTTTTACAAGAATTTAAAAAGTCAGATTCGGGATTGCCATTTTAGTACTCTGCCACATTGGTATAAAATGAATATTTAAAAAGAGAACCTAATTAGCTGTAGGAAATCCAACTATTCCTGTTATAGCCAATGTATCCAGACTGTCTATTTTTTATTTATATTTGTAAATTTTTAAATTTATGAAGGCCAAGGCATTGCCAGCCACAGGGATGGCCACCTGTGGCATGGCTCTACCTGAGCCTATATACCACTGGTAGGTGTGCGTAGGCATGAAGAACTTCTACTTCCAGGTCAGTCTTGGAACAGACACTTGCCAATTCCCTACACTGGACAGTGCTTTGAGTTTCTGTTTCCTTGATTACAGTATCTATCACATGGAAAACATTTATAAAACACCTATCATAACAATTGTTATGATACTGATGAGATGAAATGAAACCAGTGTAAGAAACAAGGAGAAGTCACAAGGTTTGTCAAACTAAAAAAAATCCGTGTATGTGAGTTTGGTGGGGCAGGGTTGAAACTGAAATCAGCTCATTTAATTTTGAGTTCACCGATTTTGAGTTCTTTTACACTTTGTAGTGTGTGTGTGTGCCTATCTTTCTTTGTAGCAGAAAAGACAATACATTTTTTAAACTAGTGGAGAGGAAGCAGGCCCATACCATTCATTTCTACCTGGTCGTCCTAGCAACCTCAACTTCCAGTTTTCTGCCAGCAGAACTGGACTTTCTGAGGGTAGCAATGACTTACTTCTTCTCAGAGTCTTAGGTGGGGGTCACTATTCCCACTACTAACTCCACTGACCTGCATCGATTATTAAAAAGTATCCTCAAGGAAGGCATCACATCCTGAACTGAACGGGTTCTCTTCCCGATGACTTGGAACCCAAACTAGTCCAGACTCAAAATAAGTACAGTGATGATTGTCCTGCTCCACTTCATCTATGGAAGAAAGAAAAATGTAGTGAGAGAAGACAATAAGCATAAGAATGCACTTGTAAAGTCAAAACGCATTTCTAAAGATAAAAACTGCTGAAAATGCTGAAACCAGAGGAAAACATTTCGCTATACATGAAACTGCATGATCTCCTTTTTGATTAGAAACATTATGTGATCCTCAAGAGTTTTCCAGTGAATCCCATTTGGTCTTATCCTGTTTCCTACGTTGTACTTTGACCTCAGTTCAGGTCCAAATTACCATCTGCCTAAATTTCTGCAATATCCTCTAAGCCTGGGCCTGAACAAGGCTGGCGGCCTTGTTCTCCCCTCCAGAAAATCGGTGTACTTTTCTGTTTTGCCACAGCAAGGTTGCATTTTATCATTGGAACATTCTTCTATAATTTTGCTCATTTTCCCTCCCACTACCAAAAAATTAAATCCTACTCAATAGTCCGATCTGATGTTTCAGAGAAACACATCAGTACACATGATGGATACTTTTTCAGAACCCATACTGCAGCTGTTGTAAGTAGCCCTCCCTTCAGTGTTCATTTGCTCTCTCTAACTGGTTCATGGTTTATAATTTTGTCTCTTCCAGTGCTAGATGGGCCAAGACAGGACCTTTTTTCTTCTCCTCTCTTTCTTCTTTTCTAAAACTCAGCTCAAGATCAGAGGTCTCAATAAACTTCTTAATAGCTGAATCAGAGAGGATTACATTTCTTCTTCTGAAACCCACAGAAAGCCTTTTAGTAAAATCTGATAGTGGAAATGTAAAGGATGAATAAACAAGATAACGATTGTGATATTTTTGAAGTCACATGATGCACCTTGTCACCAAAGGCCACAGAGAAAAATCAAAAGATAACTGTCCCTTTCTTTCTGAGATGAATCTTCTCTTATTCCAATGAACCAGGTAGCAGGGATGGAGGTCCTGCCTCACTGGAGTTCAGTGGAGAGCAGAAACTGAAGAATCCCATAGGGGTCACTGGGAAAGTCCACCGTTTTAAACTTCAGTACAGAGGAAGCAGCACAGGAAGAGAAATTCAGTTGCTATTAGCATTTTTTTTTTCCCTTGCAGAAGAGCTACAATTGTGCTTGTGGGTCTTGCCCTGTCAGGAAGTGCTGAACTTCTTGTCAGCTGTGAGGCAATACATTTCTTTTAATGCTAAAACACACACTTACTTGAAACAGTACTTTAAAAAAATCTCACTTTTAAAATAAGCAGAAAATTATGATTCAGGTGCTGTGTTCAAGTTCCTAAATTAGTGCAGTGATGTGAAACATATTTTCTTTTAAAGTTTGCAGAATTTTATCTTCAGTCTTACAAAATGCCAGCCTATAATTGAGCTATTTCCTTCTAGATAAGGCAGACCTCTTCAAAAAAAAACCTACCCATATCTCTCTCTCTATTTGTGCATCCTTGAACCCATCCAACTTGTTTCAGCCTATTATTACCCATGATACGATAAGAATTTTACCCAAGCTCACTCTTAAAGAGAAAAAGAGAGAAAAGCAGAGACACAAAGACAAAACAGAAAAGCAAGCCACAGTGACAGCACCTTAATTATAGAGCTGTGAGCACCAGGTCCCTCATCCTGCTGAAGTAGATGAGAGCTGAGGGTGGCTGCTTCACCTTGTGTGTGAGAGATTTGCTGCTTCCCTGGTGACCCCTCCTGGCTGTAACCCAGGGGAATCCCACACAGCAGTTGTACTACCGTTTGTGGATCATAGCCATATATAACAGCCGGGATCCTATATCTGAGCGAATAAGGAACCTGTCAGGTATTAACATGTGTCTACACTTGCTTTCTGTCAAATTTAAGTTTCCAACCAATGGGTGAGCATGGACAGAGGGAAGTTATGTACTATGGAGGAAATTCTAACATTTCTGCAGCGGTAAGTCAGGTGTTGTGACTGAATATGCCCCATTGTTCTTGAGCAGAGGGAAGATGGCTAAATATGTTTCCAAAATTCTTGGCCTGACCTGCAAGACTATATAAAAATCAGATGAAAGCTGATTTTTCTGTCTTTACTCTTTTTCTCCTGAGCCCAACTTTTGATCACTACCAAACAAGGTTTGGTTCTTTAATCTTCTTTCCCTCTTCTGGGACTCCCATGTCTTTACTGCCTGCTGGAGGTATCTCACCTTGAAGTTTTTAAACCTCCCCAGATGGCCCTCATGTCCAGGGAAGTTTGAGGACAACCGACCCCTCCCAGGTCCAAGTCAAATTCTGTAACATCAAATACTGTAACACCCATGACGCCTGCCTAGGTTCCTCCAGGTGTGTCTCCTTCCAAACCCACTATGGTTACAGTTATGTCAATCCTTTGGATTTCCTTATGTAAGTTCATATGATTATCTTCTTTTATTCTTATTTAGCATGTTTGCTATTTTTCTCCTTCCTTAAATAGTCTTGTATCTCAATTCCTCAATTAGAGACAGAAACTGTGAGGGTTGAATCCCATTGCACCCTCTATTTAACTAGGAACTGATAAATATTTTTGATTGCACAAAAGGGACTGAAGCGAAGGGACTGGGGATGTGGCTCAAGTGGTAACATGCTCGCCTGGCATGCACGGGGCGCTGGGTTCAATCCTCAGCACCACATAAAAATAAAATAAAGATGTTGTGTCCACCGAAAACTAAAAAAAAAAATATTTAAAAAATTCTCCCTCTCTCTCTCTCTCTCTAAAAAAAAAAAAAAAAAAGGGACTGAAGCTAAGCCAAACCATGACTTTACCCATGGCAGTCACAGATGAGTTTTGTGGGAAGGTTGCCTGTGCAGTACCATGGGGCAGGACTCTCTGAGCCTGAGGCCTCCCTCGTGCAAATGTCTAGGAAATCTCAGCAGTTTCTCAATTAATCTGAGTCTAGATGAATCAAGTATTTGTGCCAGGTAAACTTTGGTATCTCTTTTGGAATATAGTATCTTAATTGCTCCTGGTGTCAAGTCTGGTTAGAAGCATTACATGATATGAAAAGTTTCAAGTGAACTATAGAAATCAGTGTAACCCCCAAAGCCAGGCTGCTCAGCTCAATTCAGCACAAGGGTGAGAACTGCTGGATCCCTAAGTGGTGGTTACCCAGATGGTGGGAAACCAATTAGGCAAACAGGTGCAGCAGAAGTGTTCTCCTTGGCTGAGGACGCTCTCTCTCAGAACATGACTGGATATGCTGAGAATCCAACAGTAAATGAATGCAAAGCACCATTTAGGAAACTCCATCTTCATTATATTTCTCCTCCCATGAGATGGCTTTCTGTAAGACAGAATGTCTAGCCTCTAATCAAAGTAGAGTGTATTATTTTTTTGCTTAAAAAATAAGCTTTCGGCTGGACATGGTGGTGCACACCTGTAATCCCAGTGGAGACTGATGTGGAAGGATTGTAAATTTAAAGTCAGCTTCAGCAACTTAGTGAGACCCTGTATCAAAATAAAAAAATAAGAAAGGCTGGGGGTGTGGTTCAGTGGTTAAGTGCCCCTAGGTTCAATCCCTGGTACCAAAAAGAAAAAAAAAAAAAGGAAAAACGAAATTTTTACAGTGGACATCTGACAATATATGATCCATAAAAATAAAATAAAGAAATTATTTTTTAAAGATAAGTAAAGGCTTTTAAAGACAAAGAACAAGCTCTGGGCCACTGCAGCCTCCTTTTAACCTGTAGCCATTTGACACACTTGCTATTTCCTAGAGTCTGAAACCTCTGACACTTTTGAATCCCTAAGACACTGAGACCTTCACAGAAGCTCTGTATTTTCCCTTCACATGAGAATCTTTAAGTTTGGTTTCTACTATTATTTCATTCAGATTTAAACCATCATTTAAAGATTCTTCTCCATTTCATGGGCCTCTTTATCTTCAGAGCCTGCTCTGTAGTTTTGGGTAGCATTTAGCTGTACTTACCAAAACAGCAAGAGCTTAAAATATGGAATAGATTTTAATATCCACATTTCCTTCAAATTTTTTCTTTTATTTAATAACTCAACAAACACTATGAAATGGAAATTTTGTTCCTTCAGATCAGCAGAATACGTAGATAAAAAAAAAAAAAAGCAAATGTTTGTGTATCTCCTCTGGAGCACTGCAAATTGTTATTTGCTGAGAGCAGAAAAAATAGTATTTTATTCCACAGTCCCTGAAAATCTGTAATTCAGATCTGGTGGGGGACTGACAGAAATTTAGTGTACATAGTAAAATGTACAAACCTCTACTACAATACCCGATTGTAGGTACATGGGGTGATTTTCAGGGGCTGAAAGGAATGAATACTTCTGAAAGGTAGGTTTCATTGAAGAGTTCAGTGGAGAACCTCAGATTTCTCCATGAAACAACAGCAAGTATTGGTGAATATTTAATGATAATTAAGGAACCATCAGAAAGTGTCAAGAAAAACAGACCCTTTAAAAACATACAGCAGTTGAGAAGGTACAACTGAATCTCTCCTCAGGGCCTAGGCAAAACTGCTCCCTTAGTCAAAAGCACTTCTCAAAGTTGTAATGGATTGGATGGGCATGGTGGCGCATGCCTGTAAATCCCAGTGGCTCAGGAGGCTAAGACAGGAGGATCGCGAGTCTCAGTAGCGGTGAGGTACTAAGCAACTCAATGAGACCCTGTCTTTAAATAAACTATTAAAAAGGGTGGGGGAGGCTGGGGATGTGTGTGATGTGTGTGGCTCAGTGCTTGAGTGCCCCAGAGTTCAATCCCTAGTCTCAAAAAAAAAAATGTAATGGGTTGTACCCCATTTATGTATGTCAAAATTCACCCTACTGTTATGTATATCTAAAAACAATAAAAAATAATTAATTATTTTTAAAAAGACTTTTCAAAGCTAGTTCCTGCCTTACTTTTTAAGTCAGTTCAGATCCCACAGCCCCACAGAAGCCATCCAGAACACCCTATGTAGAGCAAAGGAGTCCTCATTTTCCTTTCAGGTTGGTGTTAATTTCCTTTATAAAACTTATAGCAATTGGTCATGGTTTCATTTTGTATGGACATTTTGTCAGTTGCCCCATGAGGGCCCTGTCTTCATTGTCCTTCTGGGACCTGCCTTGTCCTGGCATTTTGGAGGTACTTAAGAAAAATACTGTGAAAAAGCTGACAATTTGCATCTCTATGGAGAACAAATTTATTCTGTTCTGCACTCAGGCACATTTCTCATTTGCAGCTATACTCAGGTAAATCACTGTGAGGTGACTGTGCTGTTTGCCAAGTTATTAATTACAAAGTCATGCTGGGTCTTAACCATTTTGGAACCTATGGAAAAACTACATTTTACCTCTGATATATTTTCGATCTAATTCAGAATCCCCTGCCATTTGTGAGGTGCTGGTGGTTATCAAAGGCCCCATACAATTACAACCTTTATTCCTACACTAAAATTCACAGTTTTTCACAAATAATTCTGTGGGGGAAAAATGGCTTCAGTGACGATGAAAACCTAATATAATGTTATGATTTTGAGATGTCCTTGGGCCCAATTTAAAGTACGTGGACTCATCTCACTAATGAAGATTCACACCTTACTTCTGGGAGATTCTCCCGTATGAACCAAAAAACCTAGGAAACCTCTCATTTAGGTGATCATTTGCAAAGGAGGGTAGATATGCAGCACTTTTCCCTGAAAAAAATGATGAAGAAAAAAGTTAAACTGTGATGGGGAGAGTTACTTTATTGTGTGTGTGTGTGTGTGTGTGTGGTGTGTGTGTGTGTGTGTGTGTGTGTGTGTTTTCCTGGCTAGAATGTCACATAAACCAAAGACCACAACTTTAGACCAAAACATGAGCAAAATGGAATTTTGTAAGATGATTCTTTTCCCTGTAGAATATTAAACATCAAGTATCAGTTCTTTCTTCAGAAATCATCTTTACATTGAACTACAAAACCACTTGTACTATATTCTCAAATCCTCATGTATAAAATTTGACCAAAAACAACATCAATCTTCTGGAAAAATATTACAGATTATTTCTTTTACAATTCTCAGATTTTTCATGAAGGTAAATTTGGAATGGATTTGGGACCACTGTTTGATTGGAATGTACTGGAATGTACCTTCTGTCAGACTTGGTTTTTTGATGGCAAGTAAATAAATGACAAGTAAATTCATCTATTCATTTATATTGGTAGTGACAACTACCAACACGTCCATTAGTTAAATAAGTAAATTCATTTGAGAATACAGTCATTTGAGGAATCTAGAGGGTTCTGCCATTTCTGCTAAGTGCATCCTAATTATCATGCACCATACTTACATTAATTGGAGAAAAGACAATTTACCCATATGGTGATATTTTTTACAAAGTAGTACTGAATAATAAGACTGTGGACTAGAGAGATATGAGTTTAGAGTCTGCCATTTGTCTTCTCCTTTGTAAATTTGTCCTCATTTGTAAATTGATGATGATGATATAGGATTAATGGAGACTAATTAAGATAAATTAAGTAGAGCACTAGGAACACTGTTGATGCTGACTGAAAAGTTAATTTTCCATTTTCTCAAGTTATCATATAAAATAAGCAAAAAAAACAAACACAAAGATCCTCTATGTGGTATAATAGGAACTGTGCACTATTGGTGAGGCACTCACTGATTTTCTCAAAGTCATCCAGAGCCAAGAACTTCTAGGAACAGTCAACACTATTTTGGAGCAACAGGGTCCAATAAAATTTTCTGTGACAGTGGAAACATTCTATACCGGCATAGACTAATGCCGGAGCCATGTGTGGCTACTGTGCACTTGAAATGTGGCCATTTGACAGGGCAACTAAACTTTTCTTTTTATTTCATTTTAATTAATTAGTTTTTGTTTTAAATAGCCATGTATGTTTAGTGGCTATCGTACTGTATTGTTCAATTCGAGTGAAATAATGGACCAAGTTTGACCCAGGGATAGCTCTAAACCAGCATTGAAAATTTTAAGATGAATAATACCATAGACATGTAACTCATGACAAACGAATTCATCTTATTACAAGTCTCACTATAAGAATGTTGAAAGTAAAGTTCTTTTCTTGATTAGTCTATTGCTTGAGTCGTTTTTATGTATCTAGCTCCATTATACATGTAGATTAAAAAAGCAGAAACACTTTTTTTTTTGGTACTGGGGATTGAATTCAGGGGTGCTCAACTACTCAGCCACATACCCAGCCCTTTTTATTTTTTATTTTAAGACAGAGACTCCCTAAGTTGTTTAGGGCCTCACTAAGCTGCTGAAGCTGGCTTTGAACTCATGATCCCTCTGCCTCCCAAGCTGCTGGAATTACAGGTTATGAGCCTAGCTAGAAATATCTTTGAAGTTAGGGGACCAGATAGTTTGAGATGATTTTCTGAACTTAGGCTAATTTTCATACCTAAGATGATAGTGTATATGTGTGACCTCAAATTCCCTTTTATCCCTTGTCAGAGGTATCTGTATTCAGATATTAATGTATGTTTATAAGTATATCTGGAATGCATGTCTATGAAAATTGTGGTTGAATAGAATGCCTTGTGAAGTCCTAAAAGAAAGACTGTAAACTTGAGTGCTCAGAGTCAAGTGGAGGTGACTGTAGATGTGAACAATAAGGGGAATGCAAAAAATAATACTAATAATAAATAAAATGTATCAAGATCCAAAATAGGAGCAGAGAAATCCCTTGAGAAAAAGGCAAAGACAAAGGACATGAGGATAAATCCCAGTGCATCCAAATGGTTGAAGGGATGGAAGCAGGACAGTCAAAGCATCTTCAGGAGGCAGGAAAGAGGACATCCAAATGCAGGATAGGTAAATGCCTTCAGACCGCATGCACTTGACTTCTGGGTCACAGGTGGTGGTGTTGATCACATGTTCTGCCTTGAAATTCTAGCCTCTTTATTTCTATGAGAACTCTTGATTTCTTTTCATCTACCCGGTGGCTGCTTCTTAGTCTCCTTCCCAGCTGACTGGCCATGTCATGTGGTTAAGGGAGGCTGTGTACTGTTCAGCTCCATGGGTGTCATTCACATCATAGGTGTCATAAATTGTGATTTCAATATTGTGACTTTCTGGCTAATGGTAGTCAAAGTGTTCTTTAGATCACACAAGGGTATCTTATGGCCTAGAAGTCCCCTAGTTTAGCCTCTAAGAAGGTAATATGTTCCTTGAGAACCACCTTAGGCCCTTCTTTATCTTCATTTTTAATGTAACTATCAGTGACCTCCTTCATACATAGGACTTCATCTACCTATATGTCACTTTCAACTCTTAAGTCATCATATTATCCATAGACTATATTTTTTTTCCTGAATCTTAAACTCATATCTAATTGGGTTTTCCATAGCTCTACTCAGATTTCTCAGTGGCACCACTAACACAACATATTAAAAAAATGAAGTAATCTCTAATCCAGATTAATGCCACCCACCTCATCACTCAAGCCAGAAACATGAGATTTATTGCCACCTTGCTCCCTCCTTTCTCAAGATCAATCTATAAACTCTGGAACTTCTTCTGCCTCCACCAACTTTCTTGTATGTGTCTCCTCCATACCCTTGCTGCAGGTGTTTGGGACCTCCCAGTGCTCTAATTCCCAGATATCTTTTCTGTGAATCCTGTGCATTCTGCTTCCACATTGTGGCCAGAGGAGTCTTTCTAAAATGTGTGTGTTATTATGTCAGTCTCCTGCTAAAGTTTCTTCCATTTGTATATCTTCTTAATGTGATTTAAGATAAAGTTTGTATTCCTAATCATGGCATTTAATATGGCCTATGTGAGTTAGTCCCTGTGTGCTTTTCCATTTTCAACTTTAGCACTTCTCCTAGCATACGTCTGTGCTTTGGTGATGCATATTACCTTTGGCTTCCTTAAAAGCCCCAATTCAACCACATAGACTGGGTTGATGGCCTTTACCTTACAGGGCATCTGCCAGAGACAATACAATAGTTCCCAAATCTGTCTTCTCTTTTAGACTTCACCTTGAGAACAGGAATATGATTTTATCTTTGTATCTCTACCATCTGCCTGGCACTCATTCGTAATAAATATTTGACAAGTACATGGATGAATTTGTAGGTCAAAGAGAAGAAAAAGGGAGAAAATTAACAAACTTCAAATGCCTCTGAGTGATCATGAAAGGTGAAAGGTGTCAGCAGGTGGGATAGGAAAGAAATAGTGGCTGTGATGCAGAAAGTACTTTAAAGTCCAAAAAATCCCTCTTTCTCCACCTTTGTAGGTAGAAGGGTAGAGTTGATTGTATCATTATTTCTTAGAGATCTAAAATTTTGTGCCTCCATTTTTTATTTAAAAATCTACAAAAATAGAAATAATACTTCAGAACATTAATACTCAGAAGCCTTTTCTATCTATGGCAAAGCTCTGGGTATTAGTGGTAAACATTAAAGAAAAAGGGGTGCCATTTAAATGCAGAGAATAATGGAGATAATATAAATATATTGCCTTTACACAGAACTATTTCAAAATAGCAAGCATAAAAAGAAATTCTTCAAGCATATTTTTCTCTTGAAAAGTTTGTTATTTTGAAAGTCACAGCTGTTTACAACTATAAATAAAGAGACAGCAATGTCACATCTATTTGAAATAGAGTAGTCCCTCAGTGCATGCCTGAAACCGTGGACAATACCAAACCTATGTAAATTATGATTTTTCTTGTACATACATATACCTATGATAAAGTTAAAATTAAAAATTAGGCATATTAAGAGATTAGTAATAAGGAATAATAAAAATGGAACAGTTATAATATACTGTAATAAAAGTTACATGAATTTGGGGTTTCTCTCAATATGTTGTACTCACCCTTTTTCTTCTTATGAAGGTGTGAGGTGAGGCAGTACCTATGTGATGAGATGAAGCGAGGTGACACAGCATGTGACACAGCATTAGGCTACCGTACACGAGTTGCTTGAACAAAGCACTGTAATAGTTGATCTGATAACTGAGGAAGCCACCTCAAAAATGGATTGGCAGTGTACGCAGCGTGGATATGCTGGATGAAGGGATGACCTGCTTCCTAGGTGGGACAGCGCAAGAGTTCATCACGCTACTCAGAATGGCATGGAATTTAAAACTTATAAATGATTTATTTCTGGAATTTTCCACCTAATATTTTCCAGACTTCAGTTGGCAAACAGGTAACTGAAACAACAGAAAGTGAAAGAAGATAAGCGGGGACTGTTGCACATTTAATGCCACCCTTTAAGCTATGTTGATCATTTTCTATATGTACAAACCAGGCAGCTGAGTCTTTGGTTCACAAAAGTTTTATTGAATTACATCTGATATTTTTCTTTATTTTTAAGATCAAATATCTAAGGTGTGTCTGCTCGTTTGGTTGCCATGATCAACAGAGCTTATGATGAGATATTTCGTTTCTTAAATCATCACCCAGAGTTTTGGGAAAAGTCAACTTTGCATATCATTGATTTGGAGTATAAATTAAACTAAGTCCAGAAACTGCATTTTGTAATTTTAACCTACACAGTTAAGAATTTAGTTTTTTTTTTTAAGTTTAGTTTGTAAACATTTACTGAGTCCATGTTTTACTTCAATTATCTTCCTCTAGTTGTGTCAGAAGGTGCTTACTAAATACTAAGGCAAATTATTTAACCTTTCTAAGACTCAGTTTATTCAACAATGAAATGGGACAAATAACCATATCTTAAAATTGTTGGAAGACTAAGTTAGTTTGGGCTTTGTACTGTGCTTGACAAATGGGAAACTGCTCCATCAAAGGCTGTTATAGTTATTTGCGTATCTGAGCTTTGTAAACCTTGCTTAAGAGGTCTTTTTATTCTCAACATTTACCTAGAAATATGACTATGCATCTACTATTTCAGTTAAAAAGATGGAGCATTTGTTGAGTAATAAAATATAGAGACAGATTAGAGACAACTTGGAAACTCTAAATGAGCATAGCTAGTTAGTAACAAGTACCACCTCTAGTTAGTATTGAGCCTGTGAAAAAAATCCTGTCCTCTGGAATAACTTTCACCTGCCTACCAGCCTAAATTTAGTATTGAAAAGCCTAATGCATATTTTTAGGTCAAATGAAAGTATTGCTTCATGTGAATTTTCTCTCCACCAAGGATTTTCATTTATTCTCATATAACTGAATGTCTCTAAATAGATTAAGAACCACTTTCCTAGACTGTTGGAATCACAGAATCACTTTGGTCTTTTACTTATAAGATTTTAAAATAAACAGTTTAAAGACATCTTTGAAGAAGAGTTTTTTCTCTAGATCTTCCTTGCTTTTTTGCTGATGCTTTTCAAGTGGATTCTAAATCTTTTCTGTTTCTCTTTGAGTATATTCTTTTGTTCTCTCCTCAGCAGAAATACAGAACAGTTGGTCACAGACATTCTGAATTGATTCAGCCTTGCTACTTTATTCTTCATGTATCAAATAGTTGTTTATAGAAAGGTTATCTGCTGTTACCTATATTCCACAATATATTCATTATTATCTTTTTAAAAGACAATATGAGAGAATAGGGTCAGAGCCCTACAATATGCAGGATGAGACTTCACATGTAATACAAGGAAGATTCACCATCATTTAGTTGGTAAAAATTTGAAGTGGTTGTAGATGGTGGCAAGAACAGTTTCATTAGAGCACTATCCATCCGGATAGTCTAATTATATCTGAAAAGGATGGTCTTGGATAACCAGAAGAAATCACCTAAAAAAGATGTGTTGATTCCCAGACTAAAGTTCAAGAAGGACTAGGAGAGAGGACATACTGACATCTCTAATGTTAAAGAATATTTTGAAGAAGAAAAGTCTCATGAACAGAAGTCAAGAACTAGAAAATTAATATAATAATATTATTATTTTTCCCTAAGAGGGATTAAAAGGGAGTGATACAAAATTCTGACATTCTGGAAGCCTGGGGAACATACATGATTACGTGAAAGAGATTCTACTTGGACTGTAATATACCTTGTTGAATCATTTCAATAGTGTTCACTGAACTTCATTTCAATCCTCTGTAAACTAAATAATCTTTTTTTTTTACAAATTTGAAGACTCAGTGTAATAGAGCGTTTGAGTTTTTTTGTTGTTGTTGTTGTTGTTGTTGCAGATACCTTTTAAGCCTCACCCCTTTCTCTTCCTCTTCTTCTCTATATCAGGGCAGGCTTATAAAAATGCCAGGTGCTCTCTCTGTTACCAGATGTAAGTTTGAATCATGTACTGCAACCTTCACCCCAGCCTTGTCTCTGACCACCATAAAAGAGACCCAGATCCCTTTCCTTTACTCCTTTCGCAGCTCTGCCATGGCATCTCAGATCAGTTTGAGAGGCCTGTCTCACTTACAGAGAAAGATTTAGCATGGGAGTAACAAGCTATTAACCCTCTTGGTATGCCATGGCACCCTTAGTATGGAAATCCAAATCAAATTCTGGATTTGAAGGTCTGCTCCAACTTTACAGACTAGCCACAAGACCCAATCAAAATGATACTAGAATGAGGGGCCCTTAACAAACTGTGATTCTAATTTAAAAATAAGTTCCCCCCCCCATGAGTTTTTCTACCAGAAATCCATTCCATTGAATCTAATCAATGTCAAAGCAATGCCAATACTGAATTTCAGAACCTGAGAAGTTGAAGTTTAGAATTTGGTAACCCTCACAATTGACTATTAGTAGAGCATTCTCTTGTATTACAACCTAGAATTACCTGGCTCCATTACATTGTCCATTAAGAAACTATACTGTGTTTCAAAAGGCAGTGTTACCACTACACACCTATTAAATTGATAACAAAGTAAGAAGAAATCTCTCTTTTTAAAAATTTATAAGTGACATAAATTTAACACTTAACAGCCCTAGAGACTCAGAAGTTCAAGAACAAGTTGCCAGCAGATTCAAGGTCTAGTGAGGCTTTACTGTCTACCTCAGAGAGATGTCAGAATCTATGTTCTCACATACAGAATATCTCTCGATATTACAATGTAGAATATAACTAACATATTTGTATGTAAGTACAAAAATAGTGTCACTGAAGGAACAAGGGCATTTGTTTGACTTTCTCTTGCTTTCTATTTCCTCTTTCCTTTTAATATATACTGACCAGAATGTTATGCTTTATTAACTGTTATAAAAGCTAATGCTCAAATCACAGACCTCATCCCTTACAAAATATTTGGTCATACTAGTTGCTGTCGTGTACAAATGCAATATTTCATGGCTCCTTTGAGCTATTTGATAAACATACAACAAATATTATTTGCTTATCTAAAAATATGAAAATATACAGATGTTGCTTAAAGAATGCTGAAGTTCAGATTAATCCAAAAGTAGATTCAAATACTGTGTTTTCCAGTTTCTGTGTGACTTGGGAAGAGTTGGTTACTGTCACCTGTAGCAAGAAGACCTCTGAAGATAAAAGGAGATTGCATCAGGCATCCCTGATGGTTCCCAGCACAGCTGGTGTTTAATGAATGTTAATCCTTTTCTTTCCAAGTTAGTCTCCTTGAGTCCCTCAAAGGCTTGTAGGGGCTTTCTGTGCCTGGTAGTTCATTTTTACTCAGGATATCAAGTTTGCATAATCCAAAAGAATAATTTAATCAAAAAGAACAGTTTAATCTGTGGAGGTACATTAACAAAATAATGAAGAAAATTATTCACTTTGGTGCATTCTTTTTAATTTTTTTAATCTGAAGTAATGGAGAAGGTAAGAGAATTAATGATGGTGATTTCCCACACATGGCTACTCCCTGGGCCATTACTATTTCTCTTCTTTAAGCCACGGGAAATCCATTTGCTTGGGGGCCCTAGCCAAAGCTGGAATAAATCAACAAATAGTCAGGCAACTGACTTTCTGATAAATAAGGAGTCCACTATTTACTTTAAAGGAGCAGTAGTCACTATATGAGAATTTATTACTTAACCTTGAAAAGTACTGTTAGAAGCGAATTCCATGAAAATAAACTCTGATGTTAGGAGTAGATAAGATTCTGAAAGGAACAAGTTTTCTGCTTTCTCCTTTCCAACAATCTTTAGTTCAGGTTATTGTCCTTGAAAGCCTAAAACAAAGCTGCTTAGGTAAATGTACCAGGTAAACCCAATAGCCTGTTAATGCGGTGTTACCTTGGAACATGTAAAGGTATCAAAGGTCGAGTTTCATTACAGTTCCCATAGCAATTATAACTTGGCTACTTCACACTTCAACAGTCACCATCCACAACCAGAGGAAGCATTCCTGCAGTAGCTCTTGACTCTTCTGTCATTCAAGTTTGGGTTATTACATTGTATTTGGGTTTGGTACATTTCTAAAAAATCCTATTTAACTTCTGTCACAGAAAGCTCTTCACTGTTTCAATGGTGATAGCTTCACCCATATGCAATCTTGCAATTATCCAATTTTTTGCTCATAGCATTATAAAAGCATGCTTATATTTTCATGAAGAAATGGTGAATTGGAAGGCTGTTTTTACACTATCATGTGAGCTGGAAAGTCTGAGAATGTTTACTACTCATCAAATGAACACATATGGGAAATGGATCCAAATTAAGGGCTGACAGCCAGAAGGCTATGGACCCAAAGTTGAGGGTGAGATTTTACAGAAACTACTAAAATAAAACAACAATATAAACATTGGATACATTTTGTTTTAAAAGCAGAGGTATAATCGCAGGGCCCAGTGGCGCAAGCCTGTAATCCCAGTGGCTTGGGAGGCTGAGGGGGTGGATCATGAGTTCAAAGCCAGCCTCTCAGCAAAAAGTGAGATGCTAAGCAACTCAGTGAGACCCTGTCTCTAATTAAAATACAAAATAGGGCTCAGGATGTGGCTCAGTGGTGGAGTGCCCCTGAGTTCAATCCCTGTGCCAATAAAAAAGGAAATGAATATTTATTTTATTTATTAAATAAATAAAAAGCAGAGGTATGCACGATTTGCAAAATGAACGTCACAGGAGAACTAGAAGGCTAATAAATGTAGTTTCATAATCAGACAGGAATCATTAGTCCCTGACTTTTTCTTCTTTGTATTCAAAAGTGAGTATAACAACTCAACATTATGCCAGAATCATGATGGGAGATAGAGTGGCTAATTGATACCGTCAAAGTAAAGAGAGTGATTCTGGAATATTTAGGACAAGGGCTGATAAACTGCAGCCCATGGGCCAAATCCAGCA